CAGAACGACTGCGGGAGGCCAGCGCACTGCACCAAAACGTCCCGTCGCTACTCAGGCTTCCAGCTCCCAGTTTGGTTCACGCGTGGCGTCTACCAGTTTTACCGGGCAGTCTGCACATCGCAGACCTTTCGTTAGCGCTACACCTGCTCGGCGGCCCTCTGCTACTTCCTTTGGTACTTCGGCTCAGCGCACACCTGCAACCTACAGCACTTCCATTTCCCACACCCCGGCTGCCTCCCGGCCCTCTGCCCCCCGCACTCCCTCCAGCTTCAGTTCTTCCGCTTCCCGCGCCCCCGCGGCCTCCCGTCCCTCCGCCTCCAGCTCCTTCTCCCCCCAGACTCGCCTCTCAAGTCGTCCATTCGAAGAGGCCAACACGCGCAGCGAGGTCAGAGCCGATGGCGGTTACTCCTTCGCGTATGAGACTTCTAGCCACTCTCGGGCAGAGTCTGGCGACAGAGATAACAACGTTGACGGAAAGTTCGATTTTGTGGCCGAGGACGACGGTCAGAGACGAAGTGTGCAATATGAAGCTGGATCTGACACAGGATTCATTGCTGAAGGAGCTCACATTCCCGTAGGACCTGAGGTTCCCGGAGCACCATCCGGTCAGCCAACTGGAAGGCTCGTCCCAGTAAAAGAGACGCCCTTCGTTGACCCTCTCGCCGATACTGGCTTAGATGCCTCCTACAACTTCGCCTTCGACTCTGAGCAATACTCTCGTTCAGAAACCGCTGACGCCGACGGAAACGTGCAGGGCACCTACACCGTGGTGGACGACGATGGAACGCGTCGCACTTTCCGCTTCCGCGCCGGAAAAGGTATCGGATTTGAGACAGAAGAGATCTCAGTTTCTCGCGGTCCTCCTCCTTCCCGAACTGCATCCACCGCACCTGCCTCCTCCAGCACTTCCTCTTTGGGCGCAGGTTCCACTTTCTCTTCCACTAGCCAGGGATCGGCTACCAGTGGTGGCGTGATTTCCTACAAATCTCCTTCCACCGCCAGCCGCGCCCCCGTGACTCCTCGGCCTTCAAGCACATCGTCCTTCTCTTCATTTAGCAGTTCCTCTTCACAGCAGGCCTCGAGGACACCTCCCTTGAGAAGCATCTTCAAGCCCACGTCAACCAAAGAGGTTTTCCCGGGATTCAAGCTGCATCAGTATGACTTTACTAAGAATCCAGATAAGTTTGGCTACGTCCTGACCTTCGATAACTAGCTGGACAAATGACCAGAGAGCACCAACAGTGAACCACTTGCAAACAGGCTGCCAGTCCAACATTTGGTTTTATTCATACTGTATTCTTTATTTTCTTACACGTCATCTAGTACATTCTTGTAGCTCAAGGATCTGTAATGATAGAACGAAAAAACGCACACGTACTGGTCTAAGGAAAAGACATATCGAATTGCAAATCAGTAACAGAGTCAAAGTTACAAGAAGCACTGACACATCACAAGCTACACGAAGATAGTAAAATATCTCAGGTTCCACGAATATGAAATACTATTTTTAACAGAAAACATGCCCATGACACACTCATATCATCAGCATAATTAGTGTAAGACAAAACACCGCACATGCACTGTACATTGCTAACCAATGCACTAATGCTAATGCAGAATAACAGTACTCCCACACAAAAGTCTATGAAGTATATCAAAGACAGGTTATGTATTAAAGACATATACAACAATACAAATATTCAACATGCATCATTGCCAAAATGCTAAGACAATGTGACCGAGACATAATGCGGCAAACTACACGCGCTGCGGAAAACACGAAATGCAAATGTAACTGCTACGCTTGAATGGTATAACACTGTGACACTTGGTGATAGGATACATATTCGCTGACACACACACGGAATGAAATATATCACTTAATGGTCACAGCAAGACATATGACACATGTATATATGATACAAGAAAATAAAGAGTAACCCTTTGTATGGATAATATTTCTTATAAGAGTCATGTCAGTAATAAAAATAAAGCATTTTGTACCTTATTTATCTTCTATCACTTATTTTAAGACATTTAACAGGCAGAACTTACGGGCCCTTTTGATTACATGTCCAGATATATATACATATAAATGTACACACATACATACGTATATATATATATATATATATATATATATATATATATATATATATATATATATATATATATATATATATATATATATATATATATTTATATATGTACATGTATAAATATATATATATGTATATATATATATATATATATATATATATATATATATATATATATATATATATATATATATATATATATATGTATATATATATATATATATATATATATATATATATATATATATATATATATGTATATATATACATATATATGCATATATATATATATATATATATATATATATATATATATATATATATATATATATATACATATATATACATATATATACATATATATATATACATGTATATATGTATATATATACATATATATG